ACTATGTCATTAGTATAAAGTAACAAAAAGGTACATCCAAATGTGAAATATAAAATGAGGATAAGAGAAATTGAGTCATAGAGGAAAAACTAAAAAGATGTATTTTAAAAACCACTTTTGCTTCTTTTATTCTCATATGCTTCTTCAGTATGAGTATCACTTTCCTTATACGTGCACAAAAAGGGGCCAAACCGTCAAGGACGTTCTTAGGGGCGGGCAAAGCGGACATTTGCCTAGAGCCCTAAAAGATAGGGGCCCATAATCAAAGTTGAATACATACAAAAACATAAACTATATGTCGCATTATACTTGTTCAAAACTCGTGAGATCGCTCTTCAAACATCGCAAGTTTGCAAAGAACTTGGAAAACACAAAAGCACGAGAGAATCAACTTAAAAGATGATTTAATGAGTTTGTACCAGCGTGCACACTCACTTGTCGATACCCCTAGAAGAATTTGCAAAATAAAAATACAAGAAACATGGATATTGAAAGATTGTGTAATGTTTCATGGATGAAGTGCAAACGGGTTGTTTAATAGTAAATTACTCTTTGTACTTCATCCATGACTAGCATTGCACAATCTTTCAATATCCATTTTCAGTTTTTCTTTTTGCAAGATCTAAATATTTCTAGGAATATCGACAAGTGAATGTATGCTCTGATACAATCTCATTATGTCATCTTTTAAGTTGATTCTACCGTGCTTTTGTGTTTTCCAAGTTCTTTGCAAACTTGTGATGTTTGAAGAGCCATCTCATGAGTTTTGAACAAGTATAACACTGCATTTAGTGTATGTTTATGTATGTGTTCGACTTTGGTTGTGGTTGAACTTTCGTATGACTGTCTAAACATGATTCCTTAATATTCTTTATACATTTCTTTCACACAGAAATGATAGATTCAAAGTAGAGTCAACGATGTTAGAAGAAACAAAAAAATATGCACAAAAATTGAAAATACCAAAACTAGTTAATACACTCATAGAATTACACAAATCCACAAAGCGTGTTGTTGGTGATAACAAGTTTAAGCTTGGTTATGTTCAGACGTTGCAACAACTGTTAGATGTTCTTTTCTCTATCGAAGAGTGAACTGTGTGCCCCTCGTGTCCCCTCGTATTTGGATATTTTGGTACTTTGGGTTGCATCTCCAGAGCATCTCGAATGGATTGATTTATAAGAACCCACTTTTTTGTATTTCTTTTTCTCGCTACATGATTCACTGTCATCTCACCAAATTAAGAACATCCATACAACCCCAGTGACTCATAGAATCTTTTTTTGTGGTAAACCACAAATTTGGTCACTGTGGTTTGTCGAAAATAACACTTTTTGTTCATGTAGTTACAAAATCACAAGATGGTCATATCGGTTTATAGAAACATCCGGACTTGGTCCTTGGCTCTAACGACCGCTAAAAAAAATTCCATTTAAATGTCTTTTTTTGTCTTTTAACCAATCAAAGTCAATTTTATAATTTGGTCTCTATAATATTTGATTGGATAAATGATAAAAAAAAATCAATAAAAAGATGTAAATACCTCTCATTTTTAACGAAATTTTTTACTGTCGTTAAAGAAAGGGATTAAATTTGGACATTTTTACAAACCATGATAACCATCTTATAATTTTGAAAATACAGAAACGAAGTGTTACTTTAAACCTCTACCCCCCCCCCCCCCTTTAAAAAAACCCAAATCATGATATATTTCACTACATTCCAGTAAATATTAACAAATTCACTTTAAACTCCCATATCTATAAATGCATATATTAGTACACATATATGGAAAAGATTCGTAGAGAACCCTAAAGTACGAACTGGAAGAATCTATGTAAACCGTTAGATTGAGATGATCCAACAGATCTGGTTATAACTACCTTTGAAAGAATATTATTCTTATTTTTTTAATCAAAAATCAGTGAAATATAATCAAAATTGAAGCAAAACATATTACACCGGAAAAACAATTATTTTATTATCTTTAATTTGACATTTATGTTTATATATATACACACACACATGCACACACTATTTTGCGAAAATACGAAAACACTCATATCAAATATGATAATGCATGTGACTATGTGAGGGGACATGGTGTTGTGACTTGGCCCACGGCCTATGTATCTGATTTGGTATCACATGTAATTAAATGTTCTCGAGTTTTCTCAAAGTAGTGTTCTCGTGTTTTCTTATTTTAACCCCGTTCTCGTTTGAATGTCACAGACAGTCTCTCTCTCTCTCTCTCTCTCTCTCTCTCTCTCTCTATATATATATATATATATATATATATATATATATATGGAAAGTTTCATTTGAGAAGTAGTAAATATTTGAGAAATAAAAAAGTGATCATTGCCCTTCATCTGGTCAACATTTGCGGCTTTGACCTTGAAGCACCGACTAATTCCTCGCATGGCTATGCGGAAGATGGAGGGTAAGTTGCGTAATTTTTATAAAATAGGCGGCAAACGGGTTTATATGTGAATTCACG